GCGCCTACAACAAGAAAGTGCGGCCCAGAAACTTTGAAGTGGGGCAACTCGTCTAGAGGCGTATTCTCCCGCATCATAAGGAAGCAAAAGGAAAATTCGCTCCAAATTGGAAGGGTCCGTACATTATAAGGAAATTGTTGTCGAAAAGGACATTGTACTTGGGAGATATTGAAGGAAATGACCCCGAAACGGCTATCAATGAGGACCCGGTCAGAAGGTATTATGTTTAACCCCCTTTGCGGTACAAATATTCTCCGATTGGGATGACGAAGGATTTTATTCTCACTATCCAAACACATTCAACCCTTTGCAAACCCTTTGAGCCAGTCACTTTTCTTTGATTACCCTCTTTGGAACCCGAAAATATTGTTAAAAAAAATAAAAAATCAAAAGAAAAGAAAATCAAAAACAAAGTTCTATGAAGTACATTCGACTTGATTCTGAAAGGATACAGGCAGCCTCTCTCAGGGGTTCAGTCACACCAAAACAAAAATCCACATTTCCCCAAAAGTTGAAACTGGGGCAGAAGTTATAATGGTTCGCCTGAAAGATTCCAAAGTTATAATTCAATCCAAACTCTTTTTACCCCAAAATCCCGTTCAAGTCCTCCCGATCAATCGGTAAAGATGTTCAAAATTGGAGGATGTGGTTACTTGGATCTGATACAATCAAATGAGAGAAATAAAATGAGAGAGTCTTATTGGTGAAAACCCACACGGGCACCATAGGGCGATGGTAAGCAGAGAAATTGAAAATGAGAGAGTCTTGTTAGTGAAAACTCGCAAAGAGCACTATAAGACGACGGTGAGAAGAGAAATGAGAGAGGTCAGTTGGTGAAAACCCGCAAAGGGCGCCACTGATCGGAAAAGGGATCCCTTACAACCATCGGTACTGATAGAGTCCTGGCAAGATTTCTCGGTTTTGAGGTATGGGTTATGATGGGTTTATGAGAGTTGGATGGTTTGCACAGATCGGGTATCCAGTCCAAGAAGCATGTCATGTCTATTGAAGTTTGCATGCACTTCAGATAAGTCCTTCTTTCCTTTCCCTGAAAGGGACAATTCTCGTTTAAATTCATTATCATGTCCGTTGTTTACTTTTCTTTGAATCCCTTTCGATCTAATTCTCTTCCAAAACTAATACAAAGAAAAGATGACAAGATTGATTTTACAGGATTTTGTTTGACAAAAAGTTAATATTCAAGAAAGCACCCAGCCTTAGCAGGTGCATCAAGTCGGCCTCGACTGGCCATAATGGCCGATGCTCAAGAGTCAAAAATTCTTGAAAAGAAAGGAAATCAAAGTCAAGTGCCCATAAAGGCAAAATAAGATGGAAAAAGGCCAAGCTCCACACGGGTTAATCATCATGTGGAATTTGGGAAAGTCAAGATCCCCGGGTTTAGAAATGAAACCAATTTCCAGAGAGCCAGCGAGCAATGGCAATTTTTATTGAAAGAGTTGGCCAAGATCAAGTGATTGAAACAATCAAGGCCACAAAACCAACCACCGTTTCAAACTGATAAATTATTCTTTGATTTGAAAACAGAAAAATAGATGCAATCCAAAACAACCTCACAAGAAGTAGGTGCGATAAAAGCAAAGTACACAGAGACCAAAATGGTTCTACAGCAAAAGTTAACCCAAAAAAGGGAAGTCCCCTCCAAACTCTTTATTCATTCTCCTAAATAAAATGAAAAGTGAAATGAAAAGAAAAAAGAAGAAAAATTCAAAATCATGGTAGTATAGGGCCTCCAATCCCTAGCTGCATCTTTTCCAACATAGGGTCCCACTCCCTAGTTGATGCCGGCATAACTCGATGACTTTTCCAACCTAGGGTCCCACTCCCTAGTTGATGCCGGCATAACCCGATGACTTTTCCAACATAGGGTCTCATTCCCTAGTTGATGTCGGCATAGCCCGATGACTTTTCTAATATAGGGTCCCACTCCTTAGTTGATGTCGGCATAACCCGATGACTTTTCCAACATAGGGTCCCACTCCCTAGTTGATGCCGGCATAACCCGTTGACTTTTCTAACATAGGGTCCCCCTCCCTAGTTGATGTCGGCATAACCCGATGACTTTTCTAACATAGGGTCTCACTCCCTAGTTGATGCCGGCATAACCCGATGACTTTTCCAACATAGGGTCTCACTCCCTAGTTGATGCCGGCATAACCCGATGACTTTTCCAACATAGGGTCTCACCCCCTAATTGATGCCGGCATAACCCGATGACTTTTCAACAAAGGGTCTCACTCCCTAGTTGATGCCGGCATAACCCGATGACTTTTCAACAAAGGGTCTCACTCCCTAGTTGATGCCGTCATAACCTGATAACTTTTTCAACATAGGGTCTCAATCCCTAGTTGATGCCGGCATAACCTGATGACTTTTCCAACATAGGGTCTCACTCCCTAGTTGATGCCGGCATAACCTGATGACTTTTCCAACATAGGGTCTCACTCCCTAGTTGATGCCGGCATAACCTGATGCCAACATAGGGTCACCATCTCCCTAGTTGATGATTTTCCAACAATAGGGTCCTCAATCCCTAGTTGAATTCATTTTAGATATAGGGTCTCCACTCCCTAATCTCTTTTTTCCAAGGATACACAATCCTAATTTTATTGCTTTCAATAGTGAAGTAGTCTAGAATTTTGTTACAATAACTCACGAAATTTTCCTAGTGAAAATTGGGGCAGAAAAATTTTGTTCGTTTGTTTGTTTTGGTGTCTGAGAAGGTTAATCCTCGAGACACAGGGTTCGAGACGACAAAAATAAGAAGTCTCAATCCAAAATAAAAGGAAAGAAGAACAAGAAAAGAAGTGAACTCTAAGTGTAGAAGTGGAGAAAAGATGTGGACTGCTCAAGATATGATTGAAGTCACAAGCTTTGCATGTCCCGCCTTGATCTGAAAAGCTGAAGAAAAAATGAACCAGCGTTTTTAGCTAACGAGCATAAAGATTCAGATCAGAGTTCGCATGAAGAACCAGCCAAGACTCAAGATCAAGCTTTAGAAGGTTTATAGATAGGAATCTTGTAACTCGTAGTTGATAGACTTAGTTAGTTTAGTTTTTCATTTTTCATTTTGGTGTAATAAGGAGCTCAGCAAGCAGAAACAGTAGCAACAACAGTGAAATCACATTTTCTCGGTAATCCTAGCTACCAAAACTTCCAGAACTACACTAACCCGATTCCTTTATAGCCAAGGATATGTAGGCAACCTCCGAAGCAAGATTCGGTCAGACTTTTCCCAAAAAATGCTTCCCAAGGAGTATCCAGACGGGCAGAAATCGCTCGTAATTGCTCATTTTATCTTTTTCCGAAAACTCTTCATGTTTCCGAGCAAAGAGGGGCAGCTGTGAGCATGTGATTTTTGCCTTATTAGACATACTCCTACAAAATTAAAGAAATAGATTTTGTCGAAATTTTTTCTAATTTTATAGGATTTTTTATTAATTGTTTGTGTTTTTGTGCACATTTAATTTTGTTAAAATCATGAAAAATGCTCCAAAAATGTCAAAGTTTCATGCATTGCATATTAGGTTTTGTGTTCATATTTTAGGATTAATTAGTTAATTAATTGCTTTATTATAATGAAAATTACAAAAAATATGGTCCATTTTTACATTTTAGCTTTTAATATTAGATTAGTAATTTCCTCCTCATTAATTTAGAATTAACTAATTTTGTAAATATTATAAATAGATAATTAGTCTAATTATATAGGTTAGATCAACTTAGGACTTAATTAATTTAATTGGGTTTTTAATTAAAGAAAAGAAAAAGAAAGAAAGAGAACAAAAGAAAATGGGCAGGTCTTGTTCTAATTTGGAAATTGGGCCAAATTTGGTCTAAGAAGCCCAATTTCCCTTCCCAAATCCGCCAAAGCCCAAGTACCCACACTCGGTCCAGTCCCCACCTAAAACCCTAAATGACGTCGTTTCGTTCAACCTAAATCTGAGCCTTTGATTTCGTTTAATCGGACGTCTTAGAACTAAACCCCACCTCCCTTATATCTGTCCGAAGGACCCCCCCCCCCCCNGAATTAAACCCCTCCCCCTCCCCCCAAACCCTAGAAGACTCTCCCATAACTCACCTCCCTCATCTGTCTCACACCCCAGCCGTCGCCGCTACCAAAAATCGTCCCACGGCGGTGGCCCGTCCCCAAACGTTCCTAAATTTTCACCCTACACTCCTCATATCCCCCCCCCCCATGCACTAATCTTCCATTAGCTTCCCCAAAATCCCCACCTATTATCTTTAATCTCAAATCTGAAATTCAAAAAAAAAACTAAGCTGCTCCTAATTTCGATTTTTATGTTTCCAAGGCTCGATTTGACTCGAAACTTGCGTTAAGAAATTGTTCTTGTAAAGAATAATTGATTAATGCTAGTCTTGGTTCATTTCGAGAGTCACCGGCTTCTGACCAGGCCACTGATGCCCGGCCAAGTTCGTTGCCTTCATCGTTCGTTGAGTCACTTCATTCGTCGATTCATTCCGGCCAAAACCAATACCCTTCCTCTTTCTTTTTCTTTCTTCGTTTCTGTTTTTCTTATTTTGTTTTATTATTTATTTGTTTGAATTAGTTTTTAGTTTATTTAAGGTCAGTGATTCTAATTGGTTAGTTGCGTAGGTTTTAGGTTAATCGAGCCAAATTAACTAGTTATTAATTGATTTGCACATCTCTTAGGTTTATTGCTGATAATTGGATTTAATTGTTAATCGCGTATTAATTAGTTTCAGATGCTTAAGATGAATTGTTTAATAGCACTTTATCCCATTTGTTATTCTGGATGCTTGGTTTTGGGTTAGACAGTAAAGGCCCAATTAGTCAGGGCCTGAGTTATTTGAAATTACGGGACTTGGGCCTTTTTTGGGCCATCTGGCCATGACATTTGGCCCAGACCCAAGAAGAAGGTTCTAGAAAACACCAGTTGTCCAGATTTGATTGTAAAAAACATGTGAAAATATCTGGAATAGACAGTTGTCCATGTTCAGTTTTGAAATATGCTTTTTTCCCTGAAATTTAGGGTTGGCCGTAGAGATTTTATTCCAAAAAATTCCTTAGCAGCACATGGCAGAGTGAGCACCTATATATAGGACCCCTTCTCTCTTGAATTTTTCTGGATTTAGACACTTGAAAAAACCCTGATAATTTAGAAACTTGTTGGACCCTTAGTCTTTTTCCTGATTTCTTTTCTCCTTTAGGTTTAAAGTTAGAAAGAAAAATCTGACTCTCTTCGAAAGAAAGGAATCAGCTCTTCTATCTTCTGTTTTCACTTAAAGTTTGGAGCAGTGTTCTTTGGATTTCTGGGTTTAAAGCTAAAGTTTATTTTTAATCACTCTTGTTGTTTCTGTTTGGCTGCTGCACCTTTTCATTCTCATAAGTTTATTTCTATTTTTGGTTGATTTTGCTGTAAACAGGTATGTAGCTGAACATTTGCTTGGCCCATGAATCATATACATGAAGTTGAACTATCTGTTGCCTCACTTTCGATGTTCTGTGACCATGAGTTCCAAATGCTGATTGTCTGTCTTCTGTTGATTAAAGCTGTTGTTTAACAATGAACATGTTAAATTTGCTTGAAATGAGATCTATGCTTGGAGTTTGGTGTTATAGTTCAAAAAAAAAAGATTTAAACCATTTAACTTCATGGCAATTTTTTTTGTTTGTTTGGGTCTCTGAAATAAAAAAGAGTAAAGAATTCCTTGCTTTAGGTTTTGCTCTTCTGAATTCGTTGATTGTGATGTAGTGTATCTACTGCTCATACGTCTCTGAACTTGGACGGTGTTAGAGTATTATTGAAATGTTAATAGGCACGGAGATATGAGTTTGATTTCGTTTTTAAAATTTGTAAATCTTTGATAATCGTTGGCTCTGCAGTGCTTCTTTAATTCTTTCCATTTAGTGGTCAAATATGTATAATACATTTGTTGTCCAGAAATTTATAAACATTGAAGTTAAAGGTGAAGATCTAGACTATTTGTGGTTTATTGTTAAATGATTGTGTATGGATATAAAGCTTATACAGTTGCTTGTAAATTGCAGTGAGCGTAGCTTTCTTTTTAATTCACTGTGGCCCATTCCATATATAAGAATGCAAATCTGACTAGTGGTGTAGATGTTGGGGTTTTTTTTACTTGATAAAACTTTTAGTTGTTCATGGCATCAAATATTTGTTTTATTTTACAAAGCTTGTAAGTATAAAATGACCATGAGATTGATAACATCTTTAAGATGAGATGCCAACATGAAGTAATCACGTCTTTCTGTTAGCAAAATGCGTTCAGAAATTTGGTTTGAATAATTCGCACCTCACGCTCCTTTAATGTCGTATTTCATAGCCTTTTGATCCTTTACAATAATCTCCAATTTAGGAATTTAGTAATTCAAGAACATCGTAGTTTGCTTTATGCGTGATTAATATTAAATCATCATGACTATGGGTATGGTTTCCGTGTCATAGTCGTGATACCTAATTTCCAAATTCGGGTGTACATTTCACGTGACCCGATCATAACAACTTCGAATAATAATAAAATAAACATGTCGCGAATCGCGGGTGCATTTCATGTAGCGTGGTTTGCTATGTGTTCAAAAACGGCAAGTGTACGACAATCGTAACTTGTTCAAGAAATAATTTCATAAAACCTAAAAAGTGGGTTAAAATAATTAGAAGCGGTAATAAAGTTAAAAATACACAATAGGTTTAAAACAAGTAATGAATCAGATAATAAGGTCAATTATTAATAGTTAAGCGACCGTTCTAGAATCACGGAACCCGGGAATGCCTAACACCTTCTCCCGGGTTAACAGAATTTCTTACCTAGTTTTCCTGGTTTCGCAGATTTTTAAATAAAGTCGATTTTCCTCGATTTGGGATTTAAAATAAACCGGTGACTTGAGATACCATAATAAATTTCCCAAGTGGCGACTAACTAAATAAAATAATCCCATTTCGATTTATGTCACTTTAATTAAAAAAAAACTCCCTTATATCTCCCTGCGGGTAAAAAAGGATGTGTGACACCCGTATATGTGTTTTTAACAAATTTTAATCATACTCGTTGACAACAATTTTTTTCCAATGGTTTCTTGAATGTCGTATATCATTGATAACTTTTGTAGCTTAAAATGATTAAAATGACTAAAAGACAGTAAACTTTTTTTTTTTTTTTGGTATATTTCAGTAGTTAGACCTTAGAGATTTACTTATTAAATTTTTTCTTATTTTGAATTATGTATGAATTTCTAATATTAAGGAGTTCAAATTCAGAATTTTACCTATATAAATTCTTTTCCTATTTGAACGATGTAACACAGTTATAATTCTTTTCACGTGAAGTTAAGGGGAAGGCAAAAGTTTTTTTTTCAACCAAAACAAAAATGCTTATTTTGAAAAATTGGAGTGTTTGGTCGGGGTTTTAGGAGAAAAAAGAGCTTTTGAAAAGAAGCATAAGTTATTTTTTTCCAAAGTTAACATGTTTGGCTCAGCTTTTAGAAGAAGAAAAAAAAGCTTCTGAATAGAAATAGAAAGCAGTTTTTGAGAAGTAGAAAAAATAATTTATCCCAAAAAGTATTTTTTTTGAAAAATATTCTTGAAAACAATACACTTATAGTTTTTAAAAGTTTGGTCAAATACTAATCGTTGCTCAAAAGTGCTTTTCAAATTAAGTAGTCAAACACAAACTACTTATCACCAAAGGTACTTTTTGCAAAATAATTTTGAGAAAAATACGTCTCAAAATAAGTTTATTTTAGAAGCTTGGACAAGCTTCAGAGGGAGATTTGTATCTATACCCGCTTTTTGGGTCACGTTTTAATTTGTGCCCGCTTTGCAAAAAAAATTGCAAGTGTACCCGCTTTTTCGCGTAACTTTAGCATACGGGGCTGAAGTAGCAAAGGCAATCACGCAAAACTTCAGCATTCTAGTAGACGGGCCTGAAGTAGCAAGTGTGCTGAACCAAGTGTGCTGAAGATTTTGTTTGTAATTGCTGAACTTAAGCATATTAGCTGAAGTTTTGTTCTCTATTTGCTGAAGATTTTGTTTGTAATTGCACTAAATAAGCTGAAGTTTTTTTTGTCCTTGATTCATTAGTTTTGTCATTAAGCTTTTTCAAAAACTTCAGCAGAAGATGCTGAAGTTATTTAGTACATTTATAAAAACTTCAGCACTAAATAAGCTGAAATTTTTGTGTCCTGGATAAGCTTTTTCAAAAACTTCAGCAGAGATGCTGAAGTTATTTAGTTCATTTGTAAAAACTTCAGTACTAAATAAGCTGAAGTTTTTTTGTCCTGGATTCATTAGTTTTGTCATAAAGCTTGAAGCCAAACAACAAGAAGATGGTTAATGGTAACTACACTGCATTTATACGACAAAAATGCACTAAAAAATGGGAACTCCGATAAAGAACTGTGACTATACATTTGATAGGTGAGCTCTCGGATTGCTGGGTATAAAGTCATCACAGTACCAACCATTTCGACGAAACTGACAAGAAAGAAAGAGGACAGATGATAAAATTCTTCAACCGGTTCTTTTTCTTCATTAATGTGGGATCACTTGGTGCAGTCACAGTACTAGTGTATATTCAAGATAATTTGGGACGAGAATATAGTTATGGAATATGTGCTTGTGCTATTATTTAACGATACAAAAACTTCAGCTTATTTGTGCAATGTTGGATTCTAATCAGAAAACTGCAGGGGTCCCTAATTTCTATCTCTCTACTTGGGCTCATTTAAACCTTCTCAGAGGAAACACAAAACGGAGGAGGAAGAGAAGGAGGAGGAGGAGGAGGAGAAAGGGGTTGAAATTGTTTAAAAAGTGGGTACAAGTTAAAACTTTTTAAAAAAATTGGTATAGATTAAATAGGGGCGACCAGATAGAATGCCCCGTGCAATTTCTACGGCTTCAGATGTTTTATAAGTTGAAAAACAAATGTATTTAATGGGCTAAGATCTGGACCGTTCATATTCAAATCCTCATTAAGTCCAAATAAATGAAGCATTCCACTAAAGGGGGAAAAAGGAAACTACCAACTATCTGCCGATAATCAACTTATTACAAAAATTGGTCAATTCATAAAATATTACTAATATTAGCCAAATGCTTACCAATACTAACCAATTAGCTATCTGTAGCCGAAAAAAGGTTAAATTTTTGCTTTCTTTTGAGTAGGTGCTGTTGGAATAGATTAGATACATCTTAAGGAGTTTGAATTTCAATTTTGGCATGATTTGGTGGAGTTTTATGGTGGTTTGAATTGAAAATTCGAAGTAGGAGATGAACATGAAAAAAGAAGATATGTGTATCACATATGTATCATTTGTGTATCAAATATGTATCACATGTATATCCATGGATATCTGTGTGTGAGATACATGCGTGATACATGCATGATACATGTGTCACAGAAGAATTTTTTTAAACTCGATTTTAACTACAAATTTTGATACCAAATCACCTCCAGCTTGCTCAAATTTTGTATCTTGCCTCATCTATATGTTTTCAACCATGCCCGTTGAAAAAAAAAAATCCTTTTGCCTGATTTATTAAATATTGTATATCATTGGTAATGAATTTTGACTCCAAACTAGTCTAATTCACCTTCAAACTTCGTCAAAGTTTGTATACTGCCCCATCTATGTGATCTCAATGAATCGCAACAATACTCATTGGAAAAAAAATTGCCTATATTTTTTTTAACCTTGTATATCATTGGTAAATTTTGTGGCTATCTTTGGTAGCATGATTAAAATAGTTAGTTGTTGGTAAATAGTGTCTTTTTGATACATTTTCGTAAGATTCCTCACACACACACACACACCCCAAACAAAAGGGATATTCTTGTACAGCAAATTCTTGCGATGTTCGAGATCCGGGATTGAATCAGATCACATCAACTCTATTATTATTCACATATAAATTTGTAAAAATGATAAACTTGTAGATTTTCATTACTTGAGGAAAAAAAATCACTGCGAAAAAATTATCGGATCTTTACGCAAATACCGGCCGAATTTACTGTTTACTATTCCTAGTTGGTATGCATAGATTATACATGGATTATGCATATATTATAGGAATTTTTACCTCTTATAGCAAAGGTTAAGACCTTATTTATTTTAAATAAATACCATTTAAAAAAATTATATTCTATAGATACCTTTTAAGGTTTATAGCAAATTATTTAATTTTGGTTACCTCCTAGCCCTAAGCCACTAAATACGCTAATCAGTTACACTATTTTCTTTCTCTCTCTACTTTGATACATCCCATTCTCTTCCCCCATCTCATTAAAATTTCCGATCTCCTCCTCCTTCCATCAAATTTGTGCAAAACCCACCTCAAATATTGCTCCGACTTCCACATCCGACGACTGCAACGGCATATTCCTAATGGTTAATCAATTATTCTTAGTGAAAGAATAATTACTTTCTGCACACGATAGATTGGTAATTTGGTATTTGAACTTAAAGGACAACTCCACAAACAGGGAATAGATTTTTGTTTTTTCTTGCTTCAATAGCATAGTTTGGGGTTGCAGTCGTTTTCTTCTTCTACAGGAGACGACTCCAACGGATTTGGATCTTTCTCGTTGTCTTCTTTTTTTTCTTCTTTCTCTCAACACTGCTTATGGAATCATGGTCGGAATTCGATGGGTCGTCGGAAATTGTCGACTAAAATTGATCGTCTGAAGTTTGGGGTTGAGCAATTTGAAAATTCTGTTACCTTTTTTTTAAAGAGCATTTCAATGTATCTCGCTGTATTTCTATGTATTTCATTGTATTCAATATCTTTTTTTTCTTTGTAAATCAATGTATCTCGTTGTATTCCATATATTTCATTGTATTCAGTGTCTTTTTTTCTCATTGTATTTCAATGTATCCCTCTGTATTCTGTCTATTTTATTGTATTCATTGCCTCGCTATATGTATGAATGTATTCGATTGTATTTTTTAAATTAATATAATTTATGTATTCAGATGTATTATATAATTTCTCTGAAGATTGCTATATTTTTGGGGTATTTTGCGGTTGAGAATCTTTTTTATAAGTGAAAAATACAAAATTTGTGTGTTATAATTGAGTTTGAGTTATATTAGGAGTCCATTATGTTAATTGGTTCACTTTCCATTTTAAAAATAGTGTAATCCCCTATTTCACGCAGTGAATACAGTCAAATACAGTCGAATAATTTGTCCAGCTGTAATCCCATATTTCACTCCATGAATACAGTCGAATACACTCGAATACAACAACTGATTAGCTGGACTTCCCTAATTCACGCCTATTTTTGCTACTGTATTCATGAATACAATAGCTTAAATACATCAAATACATCTTATAACCACAGAAAAAGTATCTATATTCCGTAATATAGCAAATGGTATCTATAAATGGCTAATTACTACTAAAAGATAGTGTTTTATGAAAATTTCTCTATATTATACATCCACCAATTATTTTTAGTTTAAGTGATTACGTGGACAACTATTTAAGTTACTTCTTAAAATAAAATAAAATAAAAAAAATAAAAAATAAAAAGTTCTCCACCAGTCTTAAAGCCCAATTCAAGTAGCTGGGTAAAATCAGAAAGGCAATAATAGAAGTCTAATAAGATATTCTCAGACGCTCTTAGAACTCGCTGTACCAATCTAGACATTTATTGGTTTGATAATAAGTGTTCATAAACATAACATGGAAGTGATTATCTCTTTAACATATCCACAAGAAAGTACTCATATGGCACTATGGAAAATAAAGAAATCTATATCTATATATCTAAATAATTCTGGGAATGAGAAAGTTGATGTAGCTTGCCTCAAATGCCAGCATCTCTATTTATCTTTTTCCTTGATTTTTTGGTTTTTTTCCCTTATTTAAATACAATTACTCAATTATTAGAATTCTTCCCCTATATATCATTATGAGTCTTAAATAAGGGAAGAGAAATATAATTATGTGTTAATATTAAGCATGATTTGTTTTACTTCTCCAACCGTTAAAAGTAATTACTATACAATTATGAGTATTAAATTGTATCTAATTTATTATTTTACTGTTTGGCCTTTCAATTCCTTACCTGACATACAGCCAATTTCCAATCAATCTCTCTTTCTCTATATATATCGTGTTCATTGGTTTCATCCCAACTACATTGTAGTAAGTTTCTAAATTATTTTTTTGTTACTATATATGTTGTTGAAATACCAAATAGCTTCAACAAATGTTCATGTAAGCACACGTATACTAAGACGATAATGATAATATCATAAATATCTCTATCAAATTTCAAGAGTAGGTGGGCAAGTTTGGCAAGCTTTTGTTTGATGGAGTTGATCCAATATTTTAGCTTTTGTTTGATGGAGTTGATCCAATATTTTACTGTGTTGTATACAACTTTTACTTCAAGGTAATGTTTCTTGCTTTCTTTTTTGAGCGGTTGTCTATGGATTATGGTATTGCAATGGTGATAGTGGTGACACAAGTATTTTTCTAATCTCTATTATTATTATTATTATTATTATTATTATTATTATTATTATTATTATTATTATTATTATTATTATTATTATTATTATTATAAAGTAGAAAATATGTTCTAAAGTTATTTTTATTTTGCTGAGTTTTACTAGAAGATTCCTTGGTCATCGTGTGAAAAATACGACTTGTATCAGATTTATAGAAAAATCACGTTACACTACTCTAAAACCAAATAGATGTTACTATGTCATTTTTTATGTTTCCTCTCATTTTACCCAATTAAAAGGTGTGTGGCATCTCTTATTGGCCAACATTTATATTTAGAGGTGTATACAATGTGACTACGAAAAATAGATCAAATGATGTAAGAATATTTTTTCCTCTTTAATAATTTTTTTATAGAGCAATTGCATGTTACAATACATAAAGGCCATCTGATAGTATAACTTTTTTTAGGTTGACGATTCATGTAACTTAAACGCAAGAAAGAAATTTATAAAGGAAGTAAGGTAGGAATAAGTAGAAAAAGGGATGAAAGTAACTAAAGAGATCAAGGAATTGAAGAAAAAAAAAAAAGATAAAACAGTAAAAGAAAAAAACTAGAGGAAAAATAATAGGCAAAAAGTTACATGACTGGAATGTAACTCAATAGTAATGATTGTTGTTGTAGTATTCTTACTTTTCATTCCATGTTCTTTTAATTTAAAATGTTTAGAAAATCAAATACTACTATTAAAGAAAGGACGAAGACAAATATCTCATACATTCGTGTATTATGTATTAAACTAAGAATTATGTATTAAAAGCACATCACCAAGTACAAATTCCCTTGAACTTCTTTTTTTTCTTTTACAAAAAAATTCTGCCAATGAAAAATGCAATTCACTAAGCTCAAATTCTAATAAGAATTAGTATATATTTGTGGCTTGATCAATATATAGAAATATTTCATTTATGTTTATTAATAAATAAAAATTATTATTCTATTTGGATTGAATTTATAAATAAGATTATTAAATCCAATAGAATTTTGGGCGGGCAAATTCTCTAGTTACTACAATAGAAGCGGTATGCTAAAGAAGTCACCAATGGCAGTCACAGTTTCAGGGGTGAACAGTAAATACCTCCGCGTCTTTCATCCCAGGATTTCTGACAGAGTACTGAAAAGTCCAACCATGGGATGCACCTGCATGAATACCACTTTTGTTGACTGCAAATAGAGCCCCAATGAAGCCGGGATATTTCCTTGCAATTCGCGATATAGCATCTTTTGCAGCTAATTTGGGTTCCATTCCTAATCTCATACTCTCCACAACCTGATAACTGGCATCAGGCAAACAACATAGAAAGATGTTTATCTCCATATGAATGAATGATGCTGACCTCTAAAAATTGGAAATAAGCTTAGAAAAATGTATGACGTCCAGCTAGAAACTTCTCTAATGCCCTATACTTGTGTAAGAGGAAAAAAATAGAGTATTTCCAGACATTAACTAATCAGGGAAGTAAAATCTAAAGCTTTATCATAAGTTCTGTCCCAGCAAGAGAGATCTGGAGAGCAAGCAAAATCAACTACAACCTAAGTACTGCCCATAACTCAGACACTTCTAGCACATATTTGCTATTCCTATCTCTTATAGGAAGAGAAGTTGGGTGGTTGATGCAACTCATGAGTTAATCCTGATAAGCAAATTTTCAAAGAGCTTAGCTTCTTACCTTCAGGACTCAGGATAACTAATCAGAAATTAAACAAGAACCTTAAAACGTTTGTTTGATGCATGCTCGATCTTTTCTGTATGCCATAAGACAATATGCTACTAATCAATATAAGCTAAACTCTTTTAATTTGTAGGAGTACCATCTGTGTGCGTGTGTGTGCGCGCGCGTGAAAGAACGAGGAACCAAGCTTCACTACTTTATTCTCCTGAAAAAGAGTTCTTAATCAAAATTCCCAACCTTCATACTGGATTTTCACCTGGTCAGCTATTATAAACATTCTGTTCATCTTACGTATTTAATTCAAAAGCAAAATTTACTTGGTTTCTAGACATATATAATTCTGCTGTACATGATGGCACAGAAAAATTAAAGGAAGTTCCTTTGAAGTACCATGGAAGGAAGCGCATCATAATATCACCATCCCCAGTGGCTCCACAGGCACCAACTTCAGAATCTGCATACGCTGAAGACCCTGCTATAGGTCCATCACCAACCCTAGTGTTGCGTTTAAAAGGGGTAAAGGAGAAATAAAAGGAAATTGTTAAAGATAGAAAACCAAAAGCAAAGCTAAAAACCAGTTTGATATAATGTTGCGGTTGAATTACTACAGTAATGACTTTATTCTGTTAGAGAAGTAAATTTCTACTACGGAGGCAAGCATACTAAATGTAATATCTTACAAAGATCAGATACTAATGCAAGTTGACATTCTACAAATTGATTTTCGAGAAATGAGATTCAGAAAATCTAATCTAAGCATAACAAATTGCTCCTTCCTTTAATTAAATTTCCACTTTCCCTTCACTTAACACAAAAAACATGTCCATGCTTCCCTTTAGTGAGAACTTAAAGCTCTATTGTATTTATGAGCCACTTTTAACTTCCTGATTCTATTATAAGAAATGTCACCACCTGTCAACCTTGCGTAGTGGAAAGGGGAAAAGAGGAGAGAAGTCAAACATAGACATTCAGCTCAGGACTAAAGAGATGACTATTATGAATCCATATTTTTGTGAATTAGCATCATCTCTCTAGAATACATTCACGCATTAACAAAGTTCTAAATATACAAATGTAGACAGATAGGACTTGAGAAGCCGACAATGTGTAAATGTTAATCTTCTGATACCTCCGTGACCACCTCTAAAGATTACTTTTTTCTTTTCCACTCCAGAATAGATAAATCAAGCAGTAAACTTTTCGTTGAGATTTATGAAACATTTATAAACTGTTTCACCTTATATTGAGCACCCTAAAGGGCATGTCCCTCCAAACATAACATGTCTTTTCTTCTTCCCTTTAAGACGAGCATGGTCCCTTTAGGCAAGGGACAGTAAGCTTGATAACCACATAAATAAATGTGTGTGGCCTGTGGCCTGAGCACAACAACTCTAAAAAGGTCATTGACTCTTTTCTATCAGCTTCATGGTAAAGTGTTGAAAGGACACATAAATTGTTCTCATAACACAAACAAGTGAAGAATCACCTTCCGGGAATCTTAAATGTGGCTCCGTTAGTTGACGTACCAACAGCAATCCGTCCAACCTAAAAAGGAGGAATAAAGAATTCTGGTGAAAGAAGCTAACAAGCCAGAAATAAAGGAAGGCTGACACACCAACAACTTACCTGGTCAATGACAGCCATGGATATTGTATCATGGCTATGTAAACCAACATTAACTGATCCAAATTCGTTAGGCTGGAGCTCGTTCGCCATCAGACATCTTCCTATTGAAGGACCATTTGGATGGTATGGACCACAATTATCCCCGGGGGTGACATTTTTCCAAAAATTAGGTTGGCAATAATTTTCTTTCCATTTCATCCACTTCTCTGTTGACTCGACTGAGCTTAGGTTTATAGGCCCTGGAAGGCCCATTGAAATGGCAAAAGCTGAGGCTTGATCCCCAACAAGCATAGTATGTTTGGTATACTCCAGCACTAGCTTCGCAGCTTTAATGCCCTCTGGCACATACCTCATAGCAGCAACAGCGCCGACCTCCATTGTTACCTATGCATGTCTTAGCAAGTCCAAAATAAATTGCAAATTACATTTGCCTTGGTCAAAGGGATCATGAAGCAATATACAAGAACAAATAGCAACACTTATTACCCCCATCCATCACCATGGCATCAATACACAAGAATAAACAGAAATGCTATTACCCCATTCATCACCATGGCATCAATAGTAGTTTCTCCATTTTCATCTGGACTTCCACCTGGCCCAACTGCCATGAAAATAATACTTATGAACTGAATATCTAGCAATGCAAGTATAATATTGCATAAACCATCAGATAGACGCTCAACTGCGTCATTTCTTACCTTACAACTTGCTGCCTTTTCTGTCAAGAACATTCTTCGTTTGCACAAACATTTGTATCAATTTCTCATATGTATTTCTTGATATATAATTTTTACTTTCAACAACAGACTATCAATGGACTGAGAACTTATCTTGTCAACTGAATCAACCCTCTTACATTGATGAGGTAGATGTAGTGATATGACTGAAATTCCAGAGAATCTTTAGTTATATTGTACACAATATGCTTAATGATTATGTTATTGTTGAAAGTCAAGAGAATACTCAAATGATTATGTCATTTGGAATCCCAGAAATTAGGTAGATTTCCCTATTTCGCGTAACTAAAAATCCTATATGAGAAACCCTTCTTGTATCTTGCTAAACCAACTCTTTCAAGAAGAATTTGTTTATCATTTCTAATGGTATTAGTATTTCAATGATATCGGCGAAGACTTCAAGTAGTTTCTACTAATCGGCAGCCTTACACTATTTTACTAATCTTTCTTCTTTCTGGTAACCGTTCTGGCAGCAGAATCTTTTACTAATGATCATTCTGGTGACACTGCGCCATTTTTTGGTGACCCTTTTCGTGGTAGCTTTCCTCTTTCGGTGACCGCTCCAGCAGCATTGCGTCTCTTCTGGTGATTGCTCTTACTTCAGTCAACATCTGGCCATTCTTCAAGCATTAACTCTGGTGATCCTTTTAATGGTACTATGCCTCTTTTAGGTTTGTTCGGGCACCACATCTCTTTCTGGTGTCATTTTGTGAGCACTCAGCAGTCAGCACTGCCCCATCCTGCTGCACACCAGCCATTCTTCCAACTACTATTCAGGCCATTCTTCCAGCGACATGTCTAGCAACTTCTTTGTTAGCTGTTCAGCTTACTCAATCTACATCAGTGATGTGTTGGAGATTTCATCACGATACCTCTTTTCAACAACTGAGAGCAGACGTTTCTGTGTTTGTTGTAAGAAGCACTTCCTTTCAATTAACAATTACCAACCATGTATGTTAACAGAAAAGAGTTCCATCATTGCTTTCCTTTGCAGTAACTATTCACCACTTTCGCGACAATATTCAGGCGACTGTTTACTATTCCATAGACTTTTTAGTATTTCTTCTTTTTAAAATAAACAAACTCAAGTTAGTTCCCCTTTGAGTTTGACGGGGTGTAACACTCCTCAAATTTATAAAAGTTTCGGGACACGCAAATTATAGAATTGAATTATTATTATTTTTTTCTTGCCTATAGTGTAAATATATATATATACATATATATATATATATACATATATATATATATATATATACATAGTTAAATAATTGGATATACAAGTAGTGAAATATTTATAATTTTAATATTATTAATTATTAAAAGTGGGTATCATTAATTATTAGTTAAATGAAAACAAAACAAACAAACAAAAAAATAAAAGAAAAAAATAAAAGCAAAAAAACAAAAAAAAGAAACAGGGGGGCAAACTAAAGCCCATAAAGGGATTTTAGAACCAAAAGGATTGAAATCCTTTATACGAGAAAACAGAGAAACATTATGTTCCTTCGCACGAACAGAACCAGAGAAACAGAGGCTTTTTATCACGCAAGCAACGAAAATCTAGGGTTCTTTACAAATCACTAATTCGTGAACTCAGGTATATAAAATTCCCTATTATCAATTACCCTAAAGTAGTAGGTAAGAATTGGATAGTTAATTCCCTTCTTCCTCTATATCAATAATAAATTTCATGTTTAGGTGTGAAACTTTAAAATTGATTAAAACGCACTGGTTGTTGTAGAATCGATTGTTTGACTGGTGTCAATTGGACTGGGGCCTACGTATTGGCTCGAAAAGTTTTGAGGTGAGTTGATATAATCATTTACTAAAGTGGTTTAACTCACAAAAACACGCATACAAGGTGTTTGATGAATTGCTTAAAAGAGTTTATATTTACTTAATCAGAGCGAGTGAATACCTATTAACTTAGAATTGTTCTAGCAAAAGTTTAGATGATTTATTATGATATAAGTGCCTAAATTTTCAGATCTTTGTGTTATTCTTATATGTTATTTTCATGTTGAAAATTTATGAAGAAGCAAGAATCTTAGAAATACTTTTTCATATTTATTTCATTCTTATGTCATGCTTTACATTTAAGGATACCAGCATAAGCATGTACATGAGGTTCTGTAAAGAAAAGATTTAGACAAGAAAAGTCACAAAAGAAGTTGTAGAAAGAAAAGATTTTTGGGAGTATCCCTTATTCTGAGAAGGGGTCATCGTCCAGGCCGAGGGTCCTGACCAAGGCGTTGACTTTCTGAAACTACTTATGCCAAAGTAGGGAGCACACGAGCCGAGGGTCTCGTTGCTGAGAATTTACTTAGTCATGCTAAGGTATGATACATGAGCGCTGAGAACCATGAAGTGAGTG